CCCGAAATTCTTGCTTTCGTCTAACACTCTATATCACTTTTTTTTTTTTTTTTTTTTTTTTTTTTTTTTTTTACTTGTCACCCGAAATTCTTGCTTTCGTTCTAACACTCTATTTATCACTTTCATTTTTTTTTTTTTTTTTTTTTTTTTTTACTTGTCACCCGAAATTCTTGCTTTCGTTCTAACACTCTATTTATCACTTTCTTTCTTTTTTTTTTTTTTTTGTCACCCGAAATTCTTGCTTTCGTTCTAACACTCTATTTCACTTTTTTTTTTTTTTTTTTTATTTTTTTTTTTTTTACTTGTCACCCGAAATTCTTCTTTCGTTCTAACACTCTATTTATCACTTTCATTTTTTTTTTTTTTTTTTTTACTTGTCACCCGAAATTCTACTTTCGTTCTAACACTTCACTCTATTTATCACTTTCATTTTTTTTTTTTTTTTTTTTTTACTTGTCACCCGAAATTCTTACTTTCGTTCTAACACTCTATTTATCACTTAATTTTTTTTTTTTTTTTTTTTTTTTTTTTTACTTGTCACCCCGAAATTTCTTGCTTTCGTTCTAACACTCTATTTATCACTTCATTTTTTTTTTTTTTTTTTTTTTTTACTTGTCACCCGAAATTCTCTGTTCTCGTTTCTAACACTCTATTTATCACTTTCATTTTTTTTTTTTTTTTTTTTTTTTTTTTTACTTGTCACCCGAAATTCTTACTTTCGCTTCTAACACTCTATTTATCACTTAATTTTTTTTTTTTTTTTTTTTTTTTTTTTTTTTACTTGTCACCCGAAATTCTTGCTTTCTTCTAACACTCTATTTATCACTTTCAATTTTTTTTTTTTTTTTTTTTTTTTTACTTGTCACCCGAAATTCTTGCTTTCGTTCTAAACACTCTATTTATCACTTTCAATTTTTTTTTTTTTTTTTTTTTTACTTGTCACCCGAAATTCTTGCTTTCGTTCTAAACACTCTATTTATCACTTTCATTTTTTTTTTTTTTTTTTTTTTTACTGTCACCCGAAATTCTTGCTTTCGTTCTAACACTCTATTTATCACTTTCATTTTTTTTTTTTTTTTTTTTTTTTTTACTTGTCACCCGAAATTCTTGCTTTCGTTCTAACACTCTATTTATCACTTTCATTTCTTTTTTTTTTTTTTTTTTTTACTTGTCACCCGAAATTCTCGCTTTCGTTCTAACACTCTATTTATCACTTTCATTTTTTTTTTTTTTTTTTTTTTTTACTTGTCACTCGAAATTCTTGCTTTCGTTCAAACACTCTATTTATCACTTTCTTTTTTTTTTTTTTTTTTTTACTTGTCACCCGAAATTCTTGCTTTCGTTCTAACACTCTATTTATCACTTTCTTTTTTTTTTTTTTTTTTTACTTGTCACACGAAATTCGTTGCTTTCGTTCAAACACTCTATTTATCACTTTTCATTTTTTTTTTTTTTTTTACTTGTCACCCGAAATTCTTGCTTTCGTTCTAACACTCTATTTATCACTTTCTATTTTTTTTTTTTTTTTTTTTTTTTACTTGTCACCCGAAATTCTCGCTTTCGTTCTAACACTCTACGTTTCATTTAATCTTTTATTATTTCATTTTTTTTTTTTTTTTTACTTGTCACCGAAATTCTTGCTTTCGTTCAAACACTCTATTTATCACTTTCATTTTTTTTTTTTTTTTTTTTTACTTGTCACCCGAAATTCTTGCTTTCGTTCTAACACTCTATTTATCACTTTCATTTTTTTTTTTTTTTTTTTTTTTTTACTTGTCACCCGAAATTCTTGCTTTTCGTTCTAACACTCTATTTTCACTTTCATTTTTATTTTTTCTACATGTCACCCGAAAATTTCTTACTTTCGCTTTCCTAACACTCTATTTATCACTTTCATTTTTTTTTTTTACTTGTCACCCCGAAATTCTTACTTTCGGACTGGTGTACACTATGATCTATATTGCGATCGATCGGAAGAGTGCTTGCTCCATTTCACTCCGCTTTTTTTTTTTTTTTTTTTTTTTTTTTTTTGCTTCTGGTGGGTCCGAGCATGCGGTTGTCACTTTTGTGTCATATTGATGCTCTTCGCCACTTTCAGTAATGATGCTTCTGTTTTGTTTTTTGTTTTTTTTTCTTTATTTTATTATTATTATGATTTTTTTAGCTGCATCTTGTTCCGTTAACCAAGATGTTATTCTATTTCTAGGGAGGAGATGAGAGGTGGTGGAGATGGAGGAGTTTACTGGGGAGGAAAGAGGGATGGGATGGAGAAAGGCTGGTGTGGGAGACGGGCTGATGGAGAAGAGAAGACCCGTGTGTACGTGAGAGTAGTCATAGGGGTGCGTGGCCGGGATGTGTGTGTGTGTGTGTGGGTATGGACGGTGATTGTTTGGTGTGGGAGGATGAGGGAGAAGAGAGGGAAGAGAGAAAGAGAGAGAGAGAGAGACAGAAGAGAGAGAGAGAGAGAGAGAGAGAGAGAGAGAGAGAGAGAGAGAGAGAGAAAGAGAGAGGAGAGATGACGAGAGAGAGAGAGAGAGAGCAAGGCAACAGCATACAGAGAAGATAGATAGATATATAGAAAGCAGAGAAGAGAGAGAGAGACATAGATTGAGATAGAGATAGATTTGATAATAGAGATAGACAGGAAGTAAAAATACACCAAACAAAAACAACAACAACAGACATTTATTGGATCCCACCTCCCCCCTCCGCCCCCCAAAAAAAAAATACGACAGAAGATATTTGAAGGACGAAAATTACCTCTCCCACTCCCCCTCCCTCCCCTTTCCCTCCGGGNATGCTTCTGTGAAATCATCTAAGTTTAATTAGGTAAATTTTTAATTATGTAAAAGTTATAATTATCGTATTATACAGTAAATTGTAGCAAACAAATTTTAAAAATTACATGAATCATAATACTGAAACACTTTACCAGACTGACGTTGTAAAATGACCTTATTCTAGTTTTGTTTCTACACGCACTGTTTCCTTCATAATCTTTAGTTCTGACACTGTATAAACCACATCCAGTCTATAGGAGTGAATGCCTCAATATGCTTTCTTTTCTGACACAAATTTAAAAAACTACTCAAAACAGCATAAGTTAAAACTAAATATCTACAGGTCTGTAAATATCTTACACTGTCTATCTACAAGTCAGGATTCCAACTACTAAGCCCTTTTTCTGTTTTCTGGTCAGGTAAAAAAAATCCTAAAAAATTTCAGAGAAATTCAGGAACCAAATTCCCAAACTTTAATTTCTGAATTTCACAAAGGGCAACTAGAGAAAACCTTAGGTAAAGGCATTGCAGAACTATCACCAACACTTAAAATAAATCTACATACATGAGATCAACTTATGGTTTCCTTTAGCATCTCTTTTACTACACATTAATTTCCAAAATAAACAATCTCCAACTTTTTCCGTAACACATCCAAAGAAATATAATGGGACATAACTATGGTCCGTCTTCCATTTTGCACTGCCTGAGAAGTGGCATAATTGTAACCATCATTTATAAACGAACTTGCAGGCATCCATTTTGAAAGAGTACTGCTGATAATCATCATTTGGAGATGATGAGACCATATATTTTGGCTTTTTGTATTTCCTGCAAAATTCTTCCATTAAATATACTAATCATCATTAAATCTGATCTGTTCACAATTCATTTGGTCCCACAAAATGCTACAACTGTTTTTTTGTTTTTTTTAATATGCGAGTCATTAAGAGGAAACACAGTGAACTTCTGAATTTTCCATCAACAATTTTATAATGCAGTACAGGCCTCACTATTTTTAACTTCCAACCTCATATATTTCATTTAGGTAGACATAAAACTTCAAGTTACTGACATACAATCCATTGTATTATCAAAGCATAAATATAACAGGAGCTTAACCGGGTTATGATAACTACTGTCTGAGGAAGAGAATTCACTTTTCTGAAGTAGTAATACCAGAGCAATTATACTCTGTCTAAGGTTCATCCGTCAAAATAAACATTTAAAAACTGCATCATACAACACCAGCGAGACCTGAGATTATGTATTCAATTTGTTCTCTAAATCTTATTCTAGCTATTGCTGAGATAGAGATGTCTGATTTAAATCTACAAAAGTTTCTTTTTCTTCTATGTTAAAAAAAAGGAAAGAAAGAAAGAAAGAAAGAAAGAAAGAAAGAAAGAAAGAAAGAAAGAAAGAAAGAAAGAAAGAAAGAAAGAAAGAAAGAAAGAAAGAAAGAAAGAAAAGAAAGAAAAGAAAGAAGAAAAAAGAAAGAAAGAAAGAAAGAAAGAAAGAAAGAAAGAAAGAAAGAAAGAAAGAAAGAAAGAAAGAAAAAAGAAAGAAAAAGAAAGAAAGAAAAGAAAGAAAGAAAGAAGTAATGATAATTAAAAAGTACATATTCTACTGACTATTTAAGTCCTAATGACAAAGTGCAAGTTTGCTAAACAGGAGCATTTGGAGTTAATTTTTTCTTCTCAATTATTTTCTAGAATTTACTTTTAGTATCACATTAGAAATCGGTGGGTACATATTCTCAGTTTGCACAATTTCGAAGCACTACATTCTCTTTTTATGAAGTAATGATCTTCCTCCAATGCTCGTCTATTTCTCTACATTTTTTCTTTTTTTTATATTTTCTAAAGATACTTTATAATAATAAAAAAATTAAAAAAGTGAGAATCACAAAGATATTCAAAGAAATGTTAGTGGCTGGAACACCAAACGTAACTGCTACAGAAAAGTAAAGCTGCTCCTTTGCTACACATCAGTGTTTACATATAAAAGTTTCTCCTGCTTCCATGTTCCAAAAATGAACATACCTTAAAAGGAGCAATTTTCTAAATCAAGTTTTTAGGTAAGAGAAAATCACTTAAAAAGAAAAGTAAAGAAGGCCCTTTGCTATGTACCTGGAATGCTTGCTGAAGTTGCATCATTACCTATTAACATCAACATGATCCAAAAAGGGAAATATTTTCATTAAGAAACACACTGTCTACATAAAAAATAACAGAAGGGTATCAAACCTTCACACATTTATTCCAATTCAGAGCATAAAAAAAATTCCAAGGTACAGAGGGCAAGTTCTCATATGACTAAACTTTTCTATAATACACTTTGCACCAAAATAATGACTGATCGTTGGGGGGAATACTTCTGTTGGGACCTCAACATGCAGAGAGTGTCACAGGTAAAGACAAATATGTGTAAATGTCTGTGTGAGAATGAGTGCGAATGAGTGTATGAGTATAAATGTTAAGAATGAGAATGATCATTGGCGGGAATATTTCTGTTGGGACCTCAACATAAAGAGGAGAGAGTCAAAGGTAACGACAAATATGTGTAAGTGTCTGTGTGAGAGTGAGTGCAAATGTGAATGTATGAGTATGAATGTTAAGAATGAGAGTGGGAGGGTGGCTGTGGGTATGCTTGTGTTTGGGTCAGAGCAGAAGAGAGGAGGCATTTGTGTGGGTGTGTTTGAGTGAGAATGTGAATGTATGTATATAAGTTGATCTCTGGGCAGGTTCCTGTGCATTGATGCATGCATATAAGTGAACATGTATGTGCCTGCAGATTCATAGGAAGTGTGTGTAAATGTCCGTGTGGAGTGTGCACATATGTGTGCATGAGCATGGATGTGTGAGAGAAAAACACAAAGTGTACTGTATCTTTTTTAAGATTTAGCAGATACCCACTGGCATACAAAACTGAACACAGTTTCCTTATTAGGTTCTACAGTGATATTTTCAGCAGCCACCTGCTACGTCTACTTCTATTTTTCATTGCTGAATTAAAATCTATACTGACTGATAAAGACTGAATAAGAAAACAGAAAAATGAAGAAATAAATTAAGCAAAAGAGGTCACACTTTCTAAATGACTAAATCCACATTTGATTATATTATATACATGAAAAGGTCAGTGTTAAATCTGCACTGAATATCTATGATCTTCATTTAACAGTATACTGCTCTTACATAAACAATGGCTTAAAACTTCCATTTAAAACAGTAAAATTCATAATGTGAGCATAGGGTAAAACTGGACAAATTGTTGAATGAACAAATATGACTGCTGAAAATACCTCTGCCTGGAGAAAATCACATCTGAGACACCAATTAAGAACTAAAATGATTTTTTGAGTTGAGTTCTCTACTTACATCAATTTCAACAGAATGTTTAGTTTCAGATAAAAAGAAAAGAAAAAAAAGATAGTTTCAAATATTTTAACAGGAATTTCACCAAAATTAATTACAATCATAACAGTAAGAATCTAGCCTTTATCATGCTATGTTTTCTTAGTGCCTGCTTTAAATAATATAAATAACTTTGATAACACTTGAATTCAAAATATGAAATCAATAATTTCCACTTCTTTTCATCCATGCACTGTCTCTCTTTTTCTATTATTTCATTAAAACCTCATTACAAATAAACAAATCTGATACTGTCCTTTTCTTGACTTCATAAAGCTACCATCATCACAAAGAAAAACTACTGTGTATATTTGTCAATAAATATTATACTGAGGTATGCTCGAGCAAGGCTGACATGTAATACATATTACACACACACAAAAAAAATTAGCATTTTCTGGTCAAGTTCTCAAAATAAATTTGAGGTGAACAGTATTTCTTTTAAGGTCCAACTCAGTTGAACATTTCTTCTCACTTAGACAGCATTAATAAAAAAGGAAAAATCAATAAAAAACAACAACAGAATTATGGCTTTCTTTTCAAAGCCTTAGTTACATACAGCTCTAAGAATTGGACCCAAAACAGTGTCTCAGATCTTTAACACAGACTCGTCCTCTTTCTCTTAGTTTTCTTAAGCATTGTTTTCTTAAGAGCTGACATGATGAACTTTTTTCTTTTCTTTTCTATCTTTTATTTCTTTTCTTCTGTCTTCTTTTTCAATCTTTGGTTCATCTGACTTGAAAGCTATGCATCAAAATATCAATGATGAACTGCTGTACTCTGGTTTCCTCTTTCCCTTCATCTCACGGGTATGTCCTAGCTTGTGTGGTCATCTCTTCACATGTCGTCTAGGGATGGTAACCAAAAGGCCTGGAACAAGAAAGAATAACACTTCAACAAATAAGAAACAGAATCTTACAGGTCTAATTCACAAAAGAGGCAAAACTAGTGATTCTCATGAGGACTTTGGGATATAGGAGACTAATTTTGAATAACCCATACATAATAATATGTCTGGTTATAGGCCAAGTAATGCACTTTTCAAAAATGTGTCAATGATAGGGTACTCTGAACCAAGCTAAAGACAAAAATCTTATTTTATCATATTGGGTTTTGATCCACTGCTGCTGGGAACATGTAATGTCCACTGTAGTTTCCTTAATAGGCCAACATGACCTCACCTGATTTCCCCTTTCATTTAGTTTCATTGGAAAATGTCCTTTTTCTATAACTAATGTCTTTTTCTATAACTATCAACCTAATGGATACACGTGATGTGACTGCCATTTCTTGAAAAAATGTGGCTGAGGGCCTGGTGAGAAGAATATGCCATCATGGAAAAATTTGGCTGAAGGTTGGGCTGACAGGAATGTACCATGAAAATATTTGGCTGAGGACACGGTAAAGAGAATAACTCGCCAAGAGAACAAATAGCTCTTTGGGAAAGATTAGTATTGATGGGCATTTAGTAAAGGGCTCTTTCATTATTTAAACCAGTAAATCATGAAGGAATGTATCACCCAAGTACCATGGCTGGAAGAGCACCAGGGGTGGTATTTATCAAAATACTGAGTATTTTACTGAGCATTACACTCAAATCCCACCCTACAGCACTCCGCTCAGTAAAGTACTTAAGTGGTATCTATGAAAAGTCTGAGTGCTTCACTGAGCAAAGTATTTCCATCACTTAGGTGGGACGCTTGTGTATGAAAAGCTAAGTTAGATATTTTATTTATTTTATTTAAGTTTTATTGTAAAGCAAAAATATTTTTCATGTCAATATAAAATAATTATACATTTTTATAGCACCATAACCATGAAAATTTAATATTTTGTGGTATATATTAACTGATTTGTTTACATTCCGCATCCGACTGCATACTGTTGAGTCCCAAATGCTTTGTTTCTTTCGAAGCTGCTGCCAAAAATTTCAAAATAGAATAAGCCCTGACTTCGACCCCCGAGCCCAATGCTACAAAATTCATGATATTGTAATTTGCATCAAACACTATCTGGACATAAATGCTGTGATAATTTTTTTTCTGTTTATATATATTCAGCCTCATGTTTCTCGGGCACAATGATCATAAAATGAGTGCCATCAATCACATACACCACTCCTGTAAACCTTGCTTGGAATGCTGGCAATACAAGGGCATCTAGCATTTCATTGACTATCTTGCTAATTGAAGGTTGGGATATTATGCCAAGATCATCTCCATTGCACATTTGCATTTTCGCAGTTGCTAAAAACGGTGTCACAAGCATTTTAATTTCTGCAGAGATGGCACGTGTTCAATTTGTACGTGGCTTATTTGACCCCTGACCATGTCAGTCACATACATTAGTCCTTTTCAATCTAATATCAACCGTTTCTTCGACTCGTGATCACCATAACTGTTCAACATAACTTTTCTTGTCCAGAATTGTCTAACACTTTGTATCCTTACTCGCTGTTGTGCTTTTTCTATTGCTGTTGGGTGGACTTAAGTGCAACATAACGTGCTGAATGTTCTCCCGTCGCACACGTAGCCTCATCATCCAGTTGAGTGCACTAAAGGAGGCTAAATAGTTTGATAAATAAGATTTAAGTAATCTACTAAAAGTTAAGTGCTGCATCCATGAAATTAAGTCTGCTAAGTGCACTTACGGTTACTCAGTATTTTGATAAATACTGCCCTTGATAAATAAGATTTAAGTAATCTACTAAAAGTTGAGTACTGCATCCATGAAATTGTGTCTGCTAGGTGCACTTAAGGATACTCAGTATTTTGATAAATACCGCCCGAGGTCCAGGGAGGACATTATTTCAATGCTCAGGATTCTATTCTTGACCACCATGACTGGTGGTGCTGGGTATGTCACAAAAAATTAAATATAAAAATATTCTTAAAGTAACACAAATAACAAAATGTTCCTTATTGTTATTATTATTATTTTTTTTTAGAGTTATAGAGTACATAGATAGATAATATGAAACCTGTGCAAGTCTATTACTATCTTGATACAGAATTTCAAATAATTTTATTAGACCTTAAAAAATGACAAAAAGCTTATAAAGTGGAATCTTGACACTGCACGTGAGTCAGGCTGTGCACCAGGACTCCTTTGTATGGATGATTCTATATATGTGTGTGCAAATGTGCATGTGTGCATCTGTATATTTGTATGAGTGTGTTCATGTGTACATCTGTGTATTTGTAGGAGTGTGTTCGTGTGTGCATCTGTATAAGTATATTTGTGAGTGCATCTGAGTATTTGTATGATTGTGTTCGTGCGTGCATCTGTATATTTATATGACAGTGTTCATGTGAACATACAAACTTTGCCTCAGGGTATTTGATTGATGTGGGCATAGATTTTTGCCTTTTCAGAGTACTTTTCAATACATTATCTTTCTGTTTGTCATAAGATGAATCAGAATAATACCTTTTTATCGTTCATGCAACATGGCATACAAGTTGTAATTATAATGTCACATTCGCCCTCTCTACCTGATTGGTAATTGAGTGAGTGTGCTTATATGTATCACTTAATGGTGATGTTAGGCGAGTATAATAGGAGAGGTCATTGACTCTAGGATCAATATGCCATGGATCCTGTGCCAAGCACATCATCAGGCATTTTCTGCCGTCAGCCTCGCCCCTCCACCCCATCCAATGGTCAGTGAGCTCCCCCAGCTCATTGTCAACACCCCTCTGGAAATATTGGTTCAGAAAATAATGACCTTCCAATGCCTTGGAGATGCTGGAAGAACAGCTAAGGTGGCATGGTGACAGAAAAGAGAAACCTGTGGCAGTCATGAACGGGATGAAGGGGGTTGATATGCGGCATCAGCTCTCCCAGTCTTACCTCATTGCAAGGAAAAAATCAAATGATATAAAGGATTTTTTTTTCCTTGTTGAAATAGCGACAGTAAATGCCTTCTTTTACAGAAGTACTTGGGTGGTCCCATATGACCACTGTACAACTATCACATTGCAGTCGTAAAGGTCGGTACCTTCCTCAGATACCTCCTTACAGCATCAGCCACCTCGTATAAAGTAGCCAGGAAGAGTTATCGTGGCTAATATATTATCATTTCCTAGTGAAATTGGAAAAGTACTTCCAATGCCATGTGTACTACAAAAGGGGGATCAGGAAGATGGTGAAGTACACATGTAAGCAATGCAATACTGCTTTGAGTATCTTCTGAAGACTATCACACTAAGAAGTGCTGTGGTAGTTCATGGTACAATATTTACAAAGGAATATGTAACTTGTGTTACTTAGTACATATACTTATACATATACAGCCTTTTCTTACATGTGAAATTATGTAATTTCCCCTAAATTTCCATTTGAAGAAATAAAGAAGACAATGTACTCTTATTTTTGATGGTTCCCTAGAATATTCATTCTTCTACTCATGATCAAAAACTCATATGGAGTATTCACTATTATTTCAGTAGACTATTACATTAGTAAAGTCAAGAAGTTGGTTAAAGATAGTGTCTGAAAATGTAAAAACACATAAAATTGAGTACATGTGTAAAAGTTGATGTCAAAGCAATCATCCTCGTCAAATTTCAGCGAGTGGCCAAGTAGAGAATCACTGTGGCAAGCACAAGAGAAAAACCCTAGAGTGCGCACCCACTCCATACAGATATACCCTGTTTGGCAGACCAAGTGACAATTGGAAAACAGTGGATTAAACAGTCTAATGTAGCTTTTGTTTGCCTTAGACTTTACTGTTACTGAATAACAGAAAACAAAGTATTGACAAACATATAATACATTTACACCCACCATGTTTGTGCATCCTGAGGCCAACATCATGTATTTTGGGTTGAATTGGACACACTGTACAGGCCCAGTATGGTCAGCATTCAGCACACAAACCTGCCAAACAAAATATCATTTAATAACAATAACATGAAAAAGAAGAAGAAAAAGAAAACATTTTCTGTTAGAATCCCATGTGTTCCAAAAGAACCAAATCTTACCTTGTAGCCAGTCTCTGCATTCCACACATGGACTCTGCCATCAGTAGACCCGCTGAATATAAACTGCGAGTCGGGGCTAAAGGACGCCTCTAAGGGAATGCCTTTGTTGTTCAGATGTCCCTATGTAGAAGAAACATAAGCAAACGATTAACTTTTATAAATGTACCACTGTTTACAAAATCAAAAAATCTATTAAAAAAAAAAATTCTGCAAGTATCAATTATGCATGTATAATTACAATAACAACATAAAAAAGCTCCTCAGAAAGGAGAACAGTACAGCAGATTTGGAGATGCAACTCACGGCAAAGGTTTTGAGCGCTGTTCCCTGGAAAGCATCCACAAGTCTGATAACCGATCCATTTGTAGACGTGAGAATCGTCTTGCCATCAGGACTGAATTTGATCCCGGTCCAGTCACACTCCTTCTCCATGGATAATTGGAACGTACTAAATGGACCCTTGTCGAATGATCTGAAAACATATAAAGAACACTGGTCACTCCAAGTTTCAATCGTCAATTAACAAAATACCTACATGCGCACATGTGTACACATATGCACATACACACAAGCACACGTGCACACACACACACACACACACACACACACACACACCACACACACACACACACACACACACACACACACACACACACACACACACACACACACACACACACACACTAATTTTTTTTTTTTCATCCTCGTAAATACATCTTTATTTTGGTAAATCAAATATCTTGGGCAAGGTATATGAAGCTTATTAGTATAAGAATAATGTAATAATTCATTCTTGGTCCTAACATTTACCTTTTTTATAGACTCCAAAAATATAATCTTCATAGACATTAGCCTCATCCAGGGATCAAGGAACGGAAGCAAATTACCTCAAAAAAATCTTTATATGCATCTTTTCCTACATATTTTGATTCAGTTATGAAAAAAGAGCATTTTTTTCTGTGCACATAAATGTTCCCATACTGAATTACATTTTACCTATCATTACTTTCACTTACCCTCTTAAAAGAAAAAAAAAATGCTAACCACTATAGCTCAAAAAGTCTATACTGGATAGCTTTAAAAAAATAAGCTTGTTTTGGCTTACTTTTTCATTTGCAACACTATGACTTTCCAAAAAAATGGTTTGTGGGCATTTTGTGAAAAAAAAAAAAAAAAAAAAAAAAAACAGTGGTCATACCCCTACTATGTTTTTATACAATCCTTTTTTACCATTCACCTTACAGATAAATCTTATATCTTTTAAGATCTAATTATTTGATTAATTTCAACAATGATGAAGTCTCTGTTTTATCTTATGAATAAATACTCTTGACTGAATGAAACTTTAAGTAATATTGAATACACATCTAAATAATAAACCTAAACCATTCGTAAGGAAAAACACTATAGTAGAACTTGCCAATGCAATGGCATGAGTAGGTGGTATTACTATGCACCTTCCACCTTTGCCTAATTTTTCCCAACAACTATTTACATATCCAAACATATTTCCTCCTAATCTTCTTACCTACAAACAGACACACACAAGCATGATGCACGCACGCACTCAACTCCAAAAGATTATTAACAAAGATTTGAGGCAGTGATGGGTCACAGGGGTTTGTCAAATTCAGCATCTTTACCTTTAGACTGCCTTTCTTAGTTAAATATCCACAGCAAATTTGTAACTAAAAAACTAATAAACAGATATCAACTATTTTCAATCTACTATTTTTAAGAATGGACCTAACAAAGTAGATGAGCCACAAACTATGGAGTTGCAAAGTAAACAGTTATACTACATTCTTGATTTCATCTCCTTTATGAATAATAAAGAAAGAAAAATAAATAAAAATTCATGACAACCTAAAAATCTCAAAGCCATGATTGGCTATCATGACATGAAAAAATTTGATCTTCAGCCAGAAAGATGAGAGTGATTTGTCATGAGATACTGTTGCCAAGTGGCAGGCAACGGGAATGTCTCACCATGAGAGCACAAAGTTCTTGGTGGATGATTAGACTCATTAAGAATTTAGAATGGGTTTTTTGCATCATTTTCACAGGTAAACAATCATAAGCCATGCCAGAAAAAGTGCTGCCTCCAGAGAGGACACTATCTCCATGCTCAGGATCCTATTCCTGCCCACTGTGACTGGTGGAGAAGCAGTGTTACAAAAAATAGAATATGAAAATCTAAAAAATGTTTCAAATTACAGAATGTTACTTTTTGTTTTTGTTTTCCTGTTGACGTGTTTTGCAATTATCTGAAGTCTATGTCTGCCAGTTGATAAGCTGTATCATGATGGTAGTTTACTCACTGCATAATATAATATAATATAATATAAATATAAATATATATATATATATATATATATATATATATATATATATATATATATATATATATATATATTAAAGACGCATACATACATACATACATACATACATACATTATATTTATACTTACTTATACACATACATACATACATACAAATAACACACACACACACACACACACACACACACACACACACACACACACACACACACACACACACACACACACACACACACACACACACACACACACACACACACTTTTTTATTATTCATTTTTCCGAAACACCCTGCACCACGAGGAACAATGGGCAGGAATAGGTTCCTGTGTATGGCTCATGGATGGTACACTCCTCTTGTGGACTGGTGGAAATCAAGCATGAGCTTGAGAACAAGCCCCTTCCTGTGGGGGTACTTGGCAATAATTTCCTATGGTAAGATATTCCCATCACCCATCCCTCAGCCACAAATTTTTACGACAAGATAGCTCCATCACCTACATCCAATGGAATAACCCCGACAATCCAGATAATATGACCATCACGTTGTGAAAAAATTTAGCTTGAGGAGCAGGTGACATGAATGTAAGCATTTTGACTGAAAGACTGCGTATTGGAAAAGATTCATCACGAGTGAAGAAACTTCTTGGAGGGTGATTAGACTCATTTGGGGTTTAGGAAAGGAATTTTCCATTATTTCCTTCATTAAATGAGTGTGGAATGTACGGTCCAAGAGCCATGATTCTTGGGGGAATGCTATTTCCATGCTCAGGATTCTATTCTTGGCTGCTGTGTCTGGCATCACAAATTATATTACAGAAAATTGAATATTATGAAAATAAGACAAATAACAAAAAGTTACTTATTGTCACTATCATTGCATTGAGTTATAGACTACCTATAGAAATGATATGGAGACTGCAAGGAAAATAGTCTAATACCACCTGGATAAAGCAAATCAAATAACAAACAAGGACATTGGGAAATAGCAAAAAAGCTAAAAGTACTTATGCAAAAAGAGAAAAAATAACAATTCAATGGGAAGGTATGGTCTTGTCGCTGCATGTCTTTACGTGTGCCCGGCCTACAATGTAAGCCAAATACCCATATTTTGGGCTAGATGATGGCAGTGAAGCATCAAGATCCAATGAATTAAGGATCCCTTGTGAAATGTTTGATTTTGAAGGAAGAAGGGGGGGGAGGGGAATCGTTTACTTAAAATATACCTATTGTTTATCATACCATCCTACAAAGTAAAAAAAATCTTATCGAAATTGTAGGTTAGGGAGAGGAGCCTATATGTGCCGGTACCAATTTGTAATTTAACGTCTTTTATTTCTTATTACAGCATTTACCTCAGTAAATCTAATCTAAACTCAAAAATGTGCTAAAAATAACAGACCTGATAGAATTCCCTCAAAATTAGTGAATATTCCCCCATCTGCTCCATAGGTGTTCTTCACATACTATTGTACTTACTTTAATGAGGCCTGCTGCACTCCAGCTGGCATGAATGGATGGTGAGATGGACAGGCAGATCTCTAAAAAGATCACCAAGAAAAATAATGACCAATCGACAGATGCCCATGGACCAGGACACCAGACGCAGAAAATGGTAAGCAAAACTTTAAATAATATTTTTTGATTCATTATTTCTCCCTCTTTGAATTATAAAACAGAAAATAATTTTGTATAAATAAAAATTCTACCATGAATTTTATTGTAAACCTCAAGAGAAAACATGGTTCCGGATCCTTAATTGAGGAGGTAGAATTTGTAGGATAAACTGAGGCCTCCCAAAAGCCCACCAAAGCCTGTACTCTGTCTTATGCAGTCCTTCCCATGAAAATGAAAGAATTACCCCCAAAATGTACGTTAAACGCTTAAAAAGATAACCAATTGCATGATGTTATTAGCTCCTGAAGAGAGTGGCACCACTCTGAAATACTAAAGTTATAGGGTAAAATTTCCAGTGGACCTATGGGGCAAGGCCACAGTCCACACTCAAGGTGCTGTCACACTGGCACTTTTTCTGTTAATTTTTTTACATTTTTCTGAAATATTGTAAATTTTTTAGCAAATTGTCAATTTTCTGGTCAGACGATAATGATTGTTTCCATTTGAAAACCTTTCCGACAACTTTTTCAGCCAAGTGTTGTTAAATCAAGAGCTATATTCAAGAATGTTTGCATTTATATTAAATAGAATTAATTGTAACGTGAAAAATGTGATAATAAATTCAATATATATAATATAAAACAATAGATTAATAAATATTAAAGTTAATAAAACTTGTTTTAAGTGTTCGCAAGATTGTTTACATCCGTGGAGCAGTGCGCATCATTCCTCACCAGTTTCAAAATCATCATGGATTGTACTAATTTCCCTGTCTGGACATGCCTTTCTAAGGAATTTCTCATTGATAATACTCAGAATTGTTGCCTCTGTTGTCATTGTACGGTTTACTATGACATTGTCGTTTCACATGACAGACACGATTAATCTTTCAACTATAGTTACTGTTATTATCCCCTAAGGTAAGCTAGTACCCTAAAATTGTACTATTTTTCGAGGCTGTGACTGCCCTACTGATAAAAAAAAACTAAATCAAAATACGGCAATCAACATTTTAAGATTTCATAGATGTGATTTGTAGTGCTTAGACCTAGTCTTGTGTACTTGTGTCTAAAAAAGGCCCCTTAAATTTTGTTGTCAAAGCATGTTATTCAAGGGTTTTCTATGGATAAAAAAGAGCTCAATAAGGATAGAAAATGGTAAACCTATGTAGACTATGGTAAGGCAAATTAGTGAAGATAATACTTTTGCATTTTTTGTAAACTCAATATCGGACCATGCTCTTGTTGAGAGAATAACAGATATACTGTAATAAGAAAAATTTACCCTAATGATCCAGACAATCTGACCATCACGTCAAGAAAGAATTTGGCTTGTGGGGCAAATAGGAAAATTTGGCTAAGGGCCAAGATGACGGAAACTTGCCATCGTGAGCATTATGGCTGTAGGCCAGGGAGGCAGAATGACTCACTACATGTACACAAACCTCTTGGAGGGTGATTAGTCTTATTTGGTATTTTGGAAGGGGATTTGTATTATTTCCAATTATAAACAAGTGTGGAAGGTACTGTCCATAAGCCATGGATGGAAGAGCACTGGCTCTAAGGAGGACATTATTTCCATGATCAGGATGCTATTCCTGGCCACCATGACTGGCGGCACAGGTTGTATTATGAAAACATGAAAATTACCCCCCCCAAAAAAAAAAAAAACTACACAAAGAGCAAAATGTTACCGATTGTTATTATTATTTAACTGAGTTATAGATTACCTAGAGAGATGATATGGAATCTGTACATGGAAAAGAGTCTATTACCATAAGGACAAAGCAAATTAAATGACAAACGTAAACATTGGCAAATGGCAAAAGAGAGAGAGAGAGAGAGAGAGAGAGAGAGAGAGAGAGAGAGAGAGAGAGAGAGAGAGAGAGAGAGAGAGAGGAGAGAGAGAGAGAGAGAGAGAGAGAGAGAGAGAGAGAGAGAGAGAGAGAGAGAGAGAGAGAGAGAGAGAGAAACGTATATGCCAAACAAGAGAAAATAACAATGCAAGGGTGAAACATATAGTCTTGTCAGTATACACAAGTCTTTGAGTTCATTTGGCCTACAAGCTGCACAACCGTAGAATGGCCGCTCACATAAGCCTAATGTTCATATTTTAGGCTAAGTGATGACAGTGAAGTATCCTGATCCAAAAGGTTAATACTTTTCCCCTATAGCTCGCACTCCCCTAGATATTACTAACTCTTCACAGACTAAGACCTACCATTCTAAACATCAGTTCTGCATAAACCAACACATAAACTTACATACAACGCACATAGATAAACATACAAGCGCACATAAAAGTTACACCCAATTCTTTTACATTGCTTAATTATTCATAACAGAACAAAGTTGTTTATTCAC